ATGCTAGTCATCCATAAAAACACGTTTTACGTTTACGTTTTACGTTTTGTCGGAATAGCGCTACATGATAAGAAGCTAATGGGTTGGGTTTTGGGTTATTTACTTACCAATACATGGCGCCCCCGACTTTGTGTAGTATAGGCACTAGAATTTACAAGCACTTGTTAAGACCATCCATGTAGAGTTGTCACAACTTTTTTACATGTTGTTGTCTTACAACAAGGGCAGGAATAAACACGTCCAATTGCATAGAGAATACCTTGCGAGCCATAGACAATTACTATCATTTGTCACGAGTGATTCTAGAATCTTGAGGGACCATCAACGTTGATTTGGGAGGGACAATTAACTCTCCCTTGTTGGATATTTGTTCTTCTGTGGTTTGAGGGACAACGTGAAAACGTCCACAATATCAGCCCTAAAGAGATACTTCACAGAGGACAGCCTGTTGTTTAGAGGACATAATGTATTCAGTTTGTGACGTCACAAACCATGACGCGCTGTGACGACATAGGGCTTCAACGTACCAATTCATAATCGCTAAACTGCACAGGTGTAAATGTAGGTAAGGTATTTCCATGTCAAATAAATGTTTTACCGCTACATGTATACAGATTACAGTGAGTAGGTAAGCTTTCACGCCGCTTGTAACAAAACTCCAGTAAAATCACGACGGGGGACAGCAGAAATTGGCTTCACACATTGTACCCATGTGGGGAGTCGAACCAGGATCTTTGACGTGATGAGCGAACCCTTTAACCACAAGGCTAACCCACCTCCACATACAGTTTGCAAATATGAATATCAGTTTAAAGAGAATATTCACCCTGATTGCTATTTCTGTCGACACAGGGCACCGCGGGAACTATTTAGGTCAACTATAATGATCATGTTTAAGCCGTTCATATCGATCGTCGCCACACAACATGAGCAAGAAATGTTCAGTTCCGCCCGTAGAAAACATAGATGATGATCTGGAGTAATCGCTCGAGCTAAAAACTCTCATTCAAAGGATAGAATTACATTTGTTTCATGGAATTTCTACCGTGCATGTTAATTTGAGAATTGATTTGGAATGACCTTTTCTCCTAGTTAAATCTATTAAGGATTTGCATTATTGAAAGAACGGTGGGTAATTCGTGCCGAACATATCATGTTTATTCTTACGAGTCTGTTTTACGTTTAACCTTTTGTCTGGCCTCAAGGTGCGTAGGCGAATGAGGACTCTACGATCGTTTTTAGCGTTATTTCGAAAACCGAAAATGACTACTTCGTGAGACGGCAATTGCGAATCCAAGGCTGACAGAACAAGGGTAATGACCGGAAAGAAAATACAGTCCGAATCAACAACCAGCAAGGCGAGGAATGCACCCAAGGATACACTACACCAAATCAGAATCCGTATTTTAACAAGCACTTTTCGTCCAAACCTTCAGTGCGAATGAATCATCTGTGATTGGGTGATTTTGTTTTGTTTTTGTAAATGTGTATCCATCCAGTAATTAAAACTGACCATATTTTATATATATGTAGTGCTGTCTTTTTTACTGATGATTAACACTGAATGTGACCACAAGTATTTTCAAACAGTTGACATTTTGTGCGGAACTGTGGTTTTGTCTGTTTAGCTTCCTGTACTCGGAAAAAGAATTGCCTGAGGTGGTCATATTTCATATTTTTATTGCCTTTTAAGACCAGAATATGTACATGTAATAGTTGTTGATATCTTAGTTAGTTATAAAAAAAATATAACGTTACTATAGACGTCAATGGGACAATATTTGGTTCTGTGTAAACCCAACGCTCCTGCACAACCCGTTCCAGCAGCAATACATCGACAGGTGCAAAATAATATTTTTTTATTAACATTTCTACTCGGGGCACCGTCATCAACGTCAGTATGTTGATATTTGTTTGATAATTGGGACATAATCGTCTCCCCACTCACTCTGACACATGTAGCTCTCAGTTTCGGACCACATTATGTCATGTGCGCTAGTTATCGTCCTTCTCGACCCGATTAACGCCTGTCATCGACGTCATTTGTCTGTCGATATCGTGATTGTAATCTGCGTATTACTTACTGTGAAACGTTAAGCGTCGTGCCACAATGCTCTGTCGTATTCTAACTTCCAAAATGTCAAAACATTAATTGCGTCTTGATTTTATCACTAAAATGTTCAGCAACACAGTTACAGGTTTTCTGCTGTAAATTTTACTCCAACCATGTTCACGTGCACATCATGTATAACGATTGTTCGAAATGAGCAGGTTTTGGCATGAAATTTACAATACGTTGTGAATAGAATAACTGTTTTCTAAATCCAGATATAATTACACAAATGGATTCCCCAAAATATCACTTTAAAATCTAATATCCCCTATGTTTTAACAGTATACTATTTTACCATACATTGCCAACGACAGTGCCGTTTAATGAATGCTTAAATGCCAACTTATGCGTTGATCGCTTTAAACGCAGCTTTGAAATGAATAACTGCATATAAAGAAGGCGTATGATGATCTACCTATTCTAAATGTTGTAATATCCCAGAAAAAGGTAACGGTGTTTCTTTTAAGGTACGATAAAAACATCAATATTCTTAAATATATTCTTTAAATAGTTATTCATGAGGACTTGTGGCTCGTGACACAATTTTCATGTGCTTGTTAATTCATATTGCATAATTTAGATGTTTCCGTGTTACCTGGGAGCATGATACAGACGCACTTTTATGAACAACTTCAACAACAACAACAACAACAACACATAATAGTTGTTTAGCTACACATAGTGATTGTTTAGCTGTCAGGTGCCCATTGTGTACCTTAGCCACATGCTCGCTGAAATACTGAAATATCGCTGATTGACGAGCGAAGATGATTTCAACATGTTTTTGGACCTTTCAACGTTCAAAAGACAAAATCATATCTACTGAACTGTTATCTGCTGCAGAGCAGGACACGTATGGCGTCATGGCGAAGAGACAATCTTGAACAGTAACTGTTGGTATATCAACACCTAACTGCCACAATAACAGCTCGAACAATTCCTAGGTTGAGACCAAATAGTGGAGTGAGTGGGTTTAGTATTACGCCGCACACAGCAATATTCCAGCTATATGGCGGCGGTCTGTAAATAATCGGCTCTGGACCAAACAATCCAGTGATCAACAGCATGCTCATCGATCTACACAATTGGGAACCGATGACATGTGTCAACCAAGTCAGCGAGCCTGACCACCCGATCCCGTTAGTTGCCTCTTACGACAAGCATGGGTTACTGAAGATCAATTTTAACCCGGATCTTCACGGGATCAAATAGTGGAAACAACGTAGACGCTCAGTATGCGGTTCCGATGTCCCACGTTTCCACGACGCCGCCAGGTACACCAACCTTGCTGTGGACAGTATCTGTGGTTCAGAAGACATGACCTTATACTGTTTAAAGATGATTCTCGGGACGTGCCTTCTGTTGACAGGGGTGTATGTAGCAGGGCGTGGAGTCATCCCACAGATGACATACTTACCTTGTCAGCTTGCTGACGGGGTTAACCTCTTTGGTCATGTGGACAAGGCGTCCGACTTCTAATCAGAAGGTCCGTGGTTCGAATCCCAGCACGGGACTCGGAAATGTTATGGCGCTACAGTAATATCGCAACTCATGATAATTTGTTAATGGCAATTTGAATGGCGTATGCTACCGGGACGACATCGCTCTTCTCTTTGTCCAAATTCAGAACGACACGTTCCAGCAACAAACAATCCCGACCATATGTTGCAGCTGTTGTCACAGACATGTTAAGGTAGCAGAACACTGCTGTGCTGCCCTGGCCTGTTGTTTCTCCGGACCTCTCCAGCATGGAACATGTCTGGGGTGAGATGGAATGACATCCTCTACGATAGGACTTCAGTCAACCGTCACCACAAACTCAGTTGGACCAATCTTTGGTTGACATTTGAAACAACATCCCCAAGGGTGTTTTCAATTATCCGCTGTCTTGAAATCACCGCCGCTACCTCGTATGTATCAGCGCAAATGGTGGTCACACCCGATATTGACATTGCTAATCGAGCTGTTATTGCGCCGCCATTTATGGCGTGTCGCTCTGTCTCCTGTTACCACTATAGCTTTGTGAATGTTTTTTTTTATGATGAAAACTGCATCAGAGGAAGAAGACGATTTTGTTTTTGATGTACCATGAAGCACGCTTACTTATGAAGCAGATTAACGTTTTTAGATTGGAAATTTGACACATAACCTTCTGAGGATATTTCAGTGAACATTTACCCTTGAGCGTCAGATTTATGCCACGAAGTATATTAGCAATCATATTTACCAGATATTTATAACGGCAATTTGAAACACAAACTGGATAACGACAGATTGAAATTAGAAACCGTGTCTGTCTGTGTGAAAGTGAGGGTCTGTATATGTTTGCTTGTACAATATCACTCACAAAGCAAGCAACAATTTCACTTAGACAGGAAACAACAATCTTAATCACAAAACAAGCAACGATCTCACTCATATATGAAGCAACGATCTCACTGAAAAAGCAATAATGTCTAAGAGGAAGCAAGAATCTCACTTATATAGGGAACAATTTTACTCACAGAGGAAGCAATAATCTCACTCATAGCACAAGCACGACCCTTTCACAGAAAGCAAGAAGTTCACCCATACAGGAAGCAGCAATCACTCTTATATAGGGAACAACAATTTTAATCATTCACACATGAAGCTACCATCTAACTCGCAGTGGAAACACAAATCGCATTCACAGGGGAAACGACAACCTCACTCAAAGAAGCAACAATCTCATACACAGGGAACAGAGCAATCTCTTGCACAGAGGAAACAGCGATCTCACTCAGAGAATAAACACATTTCAAAGAAGGAAAGGACTATCTCATTCACCAAGACAGCAATCACACTCACAGATGAAACAACAATCTCACTCATATAAAAAAACAACCACGCGGAAGATACAGCAGTTTCACTCACATATCTCAGCCACAGATGAAGCATCAATCTCACTCACAGAAGGAGCAGCAATCTCACCCACATAAGAAGCATCAATCTCACACTCAGATGGAGCAGTAATCTCACCCACAGATGAAGCATCAATCTCACCCACATGAGAAGCATCAACCTCACGCTCAGATGGAGCAGCAATCTCACCCACAGATGAAGCATCAATCTCACCCACAGATGAAGCATCAATCTCACGCTCAGATGAAGCATCAATCTCACCCACAGATGAAGCATCAATCTCACCCACAGATGAAGCATCAATCTCACCCACAGAGGAAGCATCAATCTCACCCACAGATGAAGCAACAATCACAGTTTCAGAGGAAGCATCACTCTCACCCACAAATGAAGCATCAATCTCACCCACAGATGAAGCATCAATCTCAGATACAGATGAAGAAGCCATCTCACCCATAGATGAAGCATCAATCTCACCCACAGATGAAGCATCAATCTCTCTCACAGATGAAGCAACAATCACAGTTTCAGAGGAAGCATCAATCTCACCCACAGAGGAAGCATAAATCTCACCCACAGATGAAGCATCAATCTCACTCACAGATGAAGCAACAATCACAGTTTCAGAGGGAGCATCAATCTCACCCACAGAGGAAGCATCAATCTCACCCACAGATGAAACATCAATCTCACCCACAGATGAAGCATCAATCTCACCCACAGATGAAGCATCAATCTCACCCACAGATGAAGCATCAATCTCACCCACAGATGAAGCATCAATCTCAGATACAGATGAAGAAGCCATCTCACCCACAGATGAAGCATCAATCTCACCCACAGATGAAGCATCAATCTCACCCACAGATGAAGCATCAATCTCACCCACAGATGAAGCATCAATCTCACCCACAGATGAAGCATCAATCTCACCTACAGATGAAGAAGCCATCTCACTCATAGATGGCAGCAACAATCTGACTTGTATAAAACACTCATTGAACACTAGACCCTGATATTTGAAGTATGTCCTTTCACTGTGTTAACACATTGTCCTCTGATCATTTTATTTCTTGTTGGACGGTGGGGTACACTAGTTGTTAAGCGTTCGATCGTCACGCCGAAGACAATGTGTGAAGCCCTTTTCTGGTGTCCCCCGCTGTGATAGTGCTGGAATATTGCTAAAAGCGGCGTAAAAATAAAACTCACTCACTCACTCATTATTTCTTTCCCTTATTAAATTTGGATATGTCGGGTTATATATGTTAATCGCATTTCCAGCAACCACTTTGATCGAAGAGGTACTGTCGAAATTCAACATGATCATATCCCTGTAATTCAGAATTAAAACAAATACCCTCTACAAATAAATGCATAATAAGACACGGTTTCAAGACAATCTTTTTTCGTCTAACATTAACAAATCATTAACAATTATTTAATTCACAAGGTTTCAGAATTTCAAATTTCTGTAATTATGGTTTGTTGTTTTCATGGTTGTTGTTTAATAACACACCCACCATATTACGGCGGTCTGAGCATATTAGATCCCACACCAGGCAATCAAGGAACTGGCAACATGAGCATCTATCTGAGTAACTGGGATACGATCACATGCATAGAAAACATCAACGAACATGATGAACCGGTCACGTTAGACGCTTCTTACACCAAGCATTAGTTGCTGAAGGCCAATCTTCCATGGTCGAAATCATTTTGAGGAACGATATTTTGTAATTACAGTTCGAACCTGATCATGGCTTCATGTCGAAAAACAGCAGAGATTTAATTAAGACAACACATTTGACATTTCATTTGCTGTAAGGTAACTGCCAGCTAGTACTTCATGATTTTAAAGGTTGAAACAACACATTAACATAGATATCTATACGCAAAAAACTTCAACAGACAACAAAGAAATGATATATAATTATAAGTTGTATTGAATAATTAACCAGGTCTACAAATCAGTGCACAGTACTTCATAGTAACAGAGACAAGAGGGTGGAAGTACATTGACAGTGTAACTCCATGCCAGTGTAATTCGATCACAGAATACAATACCGACTGTTTTCATCTTAAAAACCTTCCAGAGTGTCCCATACTATGCTTAATTAGTCTATGCTATTCCAGATTTGTCCGACATCTAAACATCTAACTATAGTAACATCCATACCACTGCTTACATTCCTCACATCTAATAACTGTCAAAACAATATAAAAAAATATCCTCTACTTAATCTTAACAGAGCCCATGTAAAACAATTACGAAATTGTATAACAACAAATTCCACTGCAATAAAAATCTGCAATGGTTAAACAGAGACTTTCCAATCTATACGTAAAGCAAAATTAATTATGTTTTGAGAGAATGACTTTCTACGGTTCTCTGAATCACGTAAGGTCACCGTGTGTACAGGCAAACATCTTTCCATCAGTATTTCTAACCATTATTGAGGCACTATGATTAAACATTAATCCCGATGTTTAATCCTGGTCGCCCTAAATTGTCAGAAAAATCAAATGGATGAAGAATAGCCAGTGACAATTCCCAACGCGCACACAGTCCATGACAGCACGTTCTTGCTGGACCAGATTGCAAATGCATGTCACGGAATGAATTGCTTTCCGTCGAAATGATAAAAATGAGACCAATTCACGCTAAAGTAGTAAGGTGTTAAGGAATCATCAGCAGAAAAAGCAGAATTTGGTGTTTCATGTTGCATTATCGTTACAGACACCGTGTCTAGGTTCCGTTTGTTGGCATACAGTTGAACTTTGCGTGTATGCTTATACATCGTGTAATCTGTCTTTGGGTAAGTGCTTTCCGTGCGTTTTGACGAATCCAATCATACTGTTTGACGTTTTCTCTTGTAGTGTTTCAGTGCAGTGAGTGATCATAGTTTTAGCATCATTATACAAGTGTCACGGCGGGAGACGCCAGAAATGGGATTCACACATTGTACCCATATAGCAAAATTTCGGATCTTCGGCGTTACGTGCAAACACTTTGTTTACCGTTCTGTTTGAGTATATAGATGCATCAAAATATGACTGATACGCAATGTAAATACTGTCATTTGTCTTACATTTTGACAAGAAATGATGGCGCCCTACAAACTTATTATAGATACCAACATAACTGCGACAGCTATAAGGCAGATAAAGAACCATTTTCTGCGGCCCTGCAACTGATCTCTATATTAATCCTCACAAAAATGACACCTGTATATTCAAACGGTGTTTCACTGTCACAGCGGCCATTTTGAAACTAACAAGACAAAAGTTAAAACAAGATTTGAAACTGGGATTCTGTCTGATCTCGACAGCAGAGTATACGTCCCATCCGTGCTCACCAACTGATCCTGATAAATTATGAGTAGTATCGGAAAAAATCGTTTTCACATTGTGTCATCACTGTTCTGGCAGTATGTCATGGATGGTAAATTTCCCCATTTCAATGTAGGTTTGCACACGTGAAGGGCCGGAGTAGAATGGATCTTCAGTAACCCATGCTTGTCGTAAATGTCATCGTATCCCAGTTGCGTAGATCGATGTTCATGTTGTTGATCACTCCATTGCCTGGTCCAGACACGAGTTTTTAGGCCGTCGCCAAATAGCTGGAATATATAAACACAAAACAATGGAAAGAGGGTAAGCATTTCCCTTTTCCAGACACCTTTCATGTACAAGAATGTCAACCTATGTCAGTTCCTGGAATATACTTGGACCTTTTTGGAAGATGATGATATCGCCATGACACCCTGAACCTCATAAACTTCCAAGCTGATTGGACAGCGTTTGATTTGATTTACAAATGTTTTATTCAATGAAAGAGAAGGATTTTGGTATAAATCCTTTAGTATATATTTCCAGTGTAAATACACCAAATGTACAAAACAGAAAATCCCACAAAGGGTAAGGAGTATAACGGATAATGGATAATCAGATATACGTTTAGTTTGGCTTATATACATAAGGATACATTTGAAAAGACCCGATTCTCACTGATAGGGGGACATGCATTGCCATGTAGAATGACATTTATGTCTGATTATAATCTATTATTTACAAGATTCTTTAAGCCGGCAAACATAGCATATCTCTGTGGAATGTAAAAGGGACATTCTAAAATACATTAAAACATTACAACCACACTGACATACATGATCAGTCTTAATATTTATCCAGTATAAGTCGTGGTTCAGTGTGCTGGTGGTGTCGTTGTCGAATGCTTCAGCCGTGTTGTCTATTTGACTTAAATGGTGAAGCTAGTTTTAATCCATTGTCACATATAGTCACATATTGGTGCAAGAACCTCCTGGATCAGCTGCAAACAGAGCTACACGTGCAGATATGTTGTGCCATGTGATATCAGAAGCTTTGGAACCCAACAAACCGATGCATTCGTCATTGCCAACGTTTCCATGGACAATGAATTACACTTGCCTGGGAAATGCAAACTGCACTCACAATATGATTCTATGTCATTCGACCTGTCGGAGACACAATATGATAGTAACTCTGAATCATTTTTTGTGTTAGCAATGTTACAGGCGTTGGGCGAAGGTTTTCTTCAAGGCTCTCACCGGCGCGCGAAAGATATTCTGCCAATCTCTAGTGTAATTCATACCTTCATGAGTTGAGTTGAGTGTTAAGCCCCATTTCTTCAAGTATTTGAGTTGTCCAATTTCCGTAAGTCACAGAAACTGATTACTTTACCCCCTTGTCACGACTAATTTTCTCATATTTACATGGGTGAAGTATGTGTTTGTTTTACTGTTGCGCTGTTTATATTATGCGAGGTTAAAACGCAAACATAAGTCATATCAGATTAGAGTTTCAATTGGATATCAGTTTTGTTTATTAAGTTTTAGGTCGCCAGAGCTTTGTCGAAACCAAACTCAAATTTACCTCACGATGGAGACAAGGTGGACATCAAACCAAACCGAGAGTCATAGTCAGTTTTTGTTACCAGACGCATCATTTTAGGAAAAATATAAATACATATACAATGCCATTTTATCTGAAAAGGTGAAACACAAATATAACATATGTTACACGACAAACACAACGTCAATGACCAAGACGAACAGGTATGTGAGTGAGTGAGTATGGTTTTACGACGCTTTTAGCAATATTCGAGCAACATCACGGCGGGGGACACCAGAAATGGGCTTTACACATTGTACCCATGTGGGGAATCGAACCCGGGTCTTCGGCGTGAAGAGCGAACGCTTTAACCACTAGGCTACCCCACCGCACCGAACAGGTATGTGAAATACTAATGTAACATATGTTTCAAGACAAACACAAGGTCAATGACCAAGACAAAGGTTACACTTGTTGATCACAGCAGAAGTACAAGTATAAGGAAAAACGATGTGTCAAATTGTTCCTGTGCAGCAATGTACTATCATAACTAATTTTTACAGATTAGGTTAACAGGTAATTTCGGCCAGTGAACTGGTACCCTGTCTTTGAGCAAGTGTATAATGAACTCAGCACACGCTTCAGGCATCGATAGCCAGTTTGGCATCTGACGGTCTATTCCGAGGTTACCGCGTGCTGCTGCGGAACATGTCAACAGGGTCGAGGCTAATGAAAACCAGCGCTTCAAACGTGAAGGTTGCTGTCACATATATACACTGTAAAATATCTCCAGTAGAACTGGAAAGTTTATCGGATATTCAAATGCCAATAGCTTGTGTATTAGTCTTATGCAGCCAAATTGAAATCAGGCATAAATTATCTGAGGTTGCCAACATTGGATCCAGTTGAAAACGACCATTTATAGGTTATTACGTTGACTACCTGTTTGCAGTAAGGACTGATTTTAAGATAGAAGATTATATTTGTCTCTAACTTGTATCGTGGGCTGCGCGCCCCATGTCCAAAATCATAGCCCATTCGGGAGTCATTTTCACACGACCACCTTGCCTCTGGAACCCT